CCGCTGGCTGCCCAAGTGGACACGCCCTCCTCAGTCTACAAGTCCCAACGACATGTCGAAAACACCCCTTCTGGCGTGACAACCCTCAGCCATGTGTACGACGCCTTCTTCAACAAGCTTTACCGACCGGCGATCCTTTCTCAGTGACGTTACGCATACGTCGAATGCACCTGACCACTCTCGCAACGCACGGGCATCGTCCTTCAGATCGAGGCTTCCGACAGTTCCGCCATGCGTCAATCCTCCTTTTACAGCAATGTGGAAAGATTGCAACAGTCCACTGATTGCGTTTCCCTGCACCACGTCGCAGCGGCTGTATCGTGCAATAAGCTAACAGCCTAGGACCGACTACTTATTCGAAGCGCGCATGAATACCGACCGTCCCTCCACAATTGCTACACTCGCTGGCATCGATAGCCCTAATTTCGGTTGAACCTACTTCACCCTCATCGCGTTCGATTCGAGACCACGTACACAATCAGTTCAGATACTTCAGAGTTCCTCTACACCCCAATACTGCTTCGATGGATGATTCTTCGACCGCAATCGCCAATCCTTCTCCTCTTCCATCTCGAAAGAACTGCCGGCTATATACCTGTAGTACTGAGGACTGCCTTTGTCTTCATCCTTCAGACACGAGCACATTTCGACTTCAGTATGCATATCGAATGGCTCTATGTGCAACGGACAGCCGATCAGGGCAGAAGTGACAAGAAATGTCGGCCGAATAGTCTCTAGGCTGCGAATACAACGAGCGTGTTCGTACTTATGCCGCCTTACACCCGGGATAACAAGTGTTCCGATTGAGCTAGGCTCTTGTGTCAGGCCATTGCTACTACAGAGCCGTAGTCAGTGGGTCTGTCGTTATCAGAAGGTAGCCGGAGCGATGGAATCCCAGTGTGAAGCGGAACCTCATCGAACGCGATCCAGTGGGTTTTTAGAGCCAGATCACACCAACTCCAAGCATGCAACGATGATATTACAAGTCTTGGGCGGCTTTGAGAAGCAACAGGTGACATGGCCCTCTGCCCCGATAGACAGACATTGGCTATGGCGTTTGACGTTGTAAGTAAGTCAGCCGCTCAGTTCTTCCCACTCACCAGCTCTTTGGCCTATCGCATTTCACCTTAGATCCATCCATCTCATGTCTTCTTGGCACTTTCGGTTTTTGATAGCGAACACGGCCAACACGCAAACATTCTCAACAGAAAGTAATTCGTGCGTCTGATCGCTCAGCGACACGACCTTCCCACTACCGCACCACTTCTACATTCAATTCGATAGTTCCACAGTTGCGCGATACTTTACCAGCGAGGTCGTGAACATTCGTTGTCTCCAACCGTTACTTCGACGTCACGGTCGTCGTTCAGCTGATTGGACGGACATAGTGGAGCAACGGGAGCACCCGCAATAGTACCTTGCTCTCTTCACGACCAACTTTCTTGAAGACAAAACAAGCGTGCCCCATGTCCTCAGCATATGCGCCAACCTCAAACAGTAGTATAAACTTACAGTTTGCGCCGTCCCCGTTTTTCGGGACAATTGAACCCTATTCCGTGGCGTACCGTGGGGATCCGCATGTACTAGGTAGCACTGGTAATTCTCCGCATTTAATGAAGCAAACCACAGTTGTATCTTTCTTCCATTTCAAGAGTTCCAATTGCACATCTTCATCTCTTGAAAACAAACCAGCAACATCACCATGAGCAACCACACCGCAGAAGATCCGGCGACATCTGCCTTGCCCACCTATACAATCCTCCGAGACACAGCGCTCAATTTCATCAGAGCCCAAACACTCGACGCGGATTTCCCGGAACGCATGGACTTCGATCTCATGCGTACCTACTGCGCCCCTTCTTTCGAACACTCGTGGGGCCATAATTACTCCGTCTCTCTCTCCCCGCCCCTCCAAGGCACGCATTCTCTTGACGACTTTTTCACCCATCTACGATCCATGCTTCCCAGACTTGAGTCTTGGAAATCCAATGTGACAGACGTCATTGTCGATCCAGTCAAGATGAAGGTCGTCCTGCGAATCAGCTTCATGATGCAGGCGAAAGGGGCGACGGAGGGGCAGATAGTGGAGAATGATTTGCTGTGGATGATGGAGATGGAAGAAATGAGTAGCGGGAAAGTGGGCATCAAGAAGAGTATGGAGTTTCTGGATGGTGCGGCGGCGGGCAAGTTGAGGGAGATTATGATGGGAATAGCGTAGGCATGTTATGAATGACAAGATTATGTCTTTGCAGTCTTTCGTAGCTGTTGATTATAGACGTTGAGGTCTCGCACTTCTATCCTGACGTACCAGACGAACGCCATCTAAGTTGAGTTGTACCATGCCTATAACTCCGTTGCTACCGGTCCAATGTGAATATCGCCAACTTTTCTTTCGCTAAAGGTTTGATATGCGCCCCTCGTGTTTAACCGTTTCTTCATATGCATCCTGTTTCATCATGTTCACTCGATCTAGTTCGAGTGCCCATTAGTGTTTCCCTGTCTGACCATCCAGGATAGCAAGTCCACCTTTGTGACAACAGCAACGGCCTTTGGCTCGCCATCGACGCGCTCGGTGACAACAGCCGCGCTGTTCCACTCGAAGAACTTGTTCAGATCGCTCAAGCTGGTCTCCTTGGTGATCTCAACAAACTCCCTTCGTCCCTTCTTGCCACCCTTCTGTGTGTTCTTCGCGTTATCGCCGTCGAGCGAAAGACGGCCAAGGTCCTTTACGACCTCGTTCAATTTGCGGAAATCGAACATGACCTCTTCGACGGGCGACTTTGGTGTGGCACGACCGGCAGCGATGTAGGATAGCAAGTTGCCGAGGGTCACTAGACCGACAAGACGCGCCTTGCCGCCGGAAGAGTATGTGCTAACGGGAAGTTGGTCGAACCCCTTCTCACGCATTGTTTCAATGGCTTCGCTGCAGGGCGAGTTCGAGGGGACGGTGGTAACGGGCTTGAGTCGTAGGGAAGCGATGGTGGCGCCGTGGAAAGCGTCGGCCTGCTTGGTGGTGGAGAGACGACGAGTGTTTGCGCCGTTCGTGTTAGGTGTTAGAGGGGGCGTAGGGGGGAGAAGGTCGTTTGCTGCAAGCCAGTCGTCGTCGACGAACTATGATACGTTAGTATGGCATAACAGTAGCATATGACAAAGGATGACGAACCTTGCTGAGGTAGCTTCTAATGCTGTCGGGGAGAATGACGACGACAACATCATCTTCAGTGAGGTCCATGTCTTTCGCGGCTTCGACCATGGCAGCCATCGCACTACCAGACGAACCACCGCAAAGAATGCCCTCTTCGGAGATCAACCGGCGGGCATACAAGAACGATGTCCGGTCGTCTGTCTTGTACCACTTGTCCACGATCTTCTGCTCCAGGACGTCAGGGATGAAGTCATATCCGATTCCCTCAACTTTGTAGCCCTCGTTCACACGTTCGTCGTTCAGGGTCGCAGGGAGTGCGAGTATACTGCCGTGTGGGTCGGCAGCGACAATCTTGACATCCTGCTTGTGTTTCCTCAGACCGCGCGCTAGGCCTGTGATAGTGCCTCCAGTTCCTGCACCAGCAACAAGACAGGTGATCTTGCCGTCGGTCTGTGTCCACACCTCCTCGGCTGTGCCGCACTCGTGCGCGAGCGGGTTGTCGGGGTTCGAGTACTGGTCGAGGATATGCGCGTTCGGGATCTCCTTGACTAATCTCCTCGCGACGCCGATGTGACTTTCGGGGCTATCCCATGCCGCACTTGTCGGGGTACGAATGATCTCGGCTCCGAGCGCCTTAAGAACCGCCACCTTCTCGGGACTCATCTTCTCGGGAAGTGTGATGATGGTTCTGTATCCCTTTACCGCACCCACCAAAGCCAGCCCAATACCCGTGTTACCAGACGTAGGCTCGATGAGTGTGTCACCGGGCTTTATGCGACCAGACTTCTCAGCGGCTTCGATCATGCGAAGCGCGATGCGGTCCTTGACACTGCCGCCGGCGTTGAAGGCTTCGACCTTTACGTATACGGTGGCACGGATGCCCAGGGATTGCGGAATCTTGTTCAGGCGTACGAGGGGCGTGTTGCCGATCTGCTGCGTTATGCTGTCCATAACCACAGGTGGGATGGCGGGGCGCGTCTTGGTAGACATGGTGGCGGTTTTCGTGTGCTGAGGCGTGTATGTGATGCTGGAGTATGTATCGTGAGAGTTTCTGGAAGTATAAGTAAAGAGAGTACCCGCACGTCAAAGGCGAAGAAGATGTCGTAATACGGATGCAAAGTTGTCGCGCAGAACAAACTCGATGGCCTGACCCGCAAATAGCCGCCGCGCTCAAGCCACCGCTAGTAGATCCTCACAACGCCAGCCGGATACGCTCAATCGCCACCTTCACGCCGTCGCCGCCACTGTCAGCTGCCTAGGCACGTGGTGGGTATGCATAACATCCATGAATCAGCATCTCGGTAGCCTATCAACCGTCAACATGGTGGCAACTGAACCTCAAGCACTCATCACTTCTATGCCTGTTCATTTTGGTGATATTCTGACATTAACTTAATTCGATCCATGGCTGCAAGATGGAACCACGAACAGCTCTCTGCCATTCTCAGCTCTACTCGACCAGGTCTGAACCGAGCTTCTGTTGATCCTTTATTTCCAAGTCTATCCCGCGCCGATGAGGAGGCTATCCGCGACGTAGATCCATCATCCACAGAAGGACACATACTATGTACTTTCCAAGATCTTCTCACTCACCGAATCAATCCCAGAGCAGCAGCAGATATCCTTGGTTCACTGACTTCAGCTCATTGCTCCTCGTCAACACCCCATGATGCGAGCATACTCTGGGGCGCCATATGCCATCGTGGCGAGTTATGGCCGGAAGCAGAACTGAGGATATTGGCCGACTTGGTGGTGGAGCTTGCGAGATTGTCATACCCTTTACCAGAGTATCCGTACGATACAGATGAGCCGGTTCAGGGCACCAGTAGCTTTGTGGACTTACCTGGCTTCGGTCATGAGCTCGTGGGTTATTTGCAAGGTATGGACATGAACAACCGCCGTGCTGAAAAGTCTCAGAAGCTGACAGTTTTCGGTCCAGGTCCAAAGTGCTATAGCTTGCAGTTCATGGCCCCCGAAGCTCGCAAAGACGCGACGTTGAGGACGGCTGAATCAATGACGGAATGCATTGTCAGTGGTGATGTCGTCCTAGCTGTCAGAGATCTTTACAAGAACATCAACACGTTCGCCGCGCTTCTTAGCTGTTACCACATTCGAGGTGCGCTGCCACAAGATAATGTGGACTTTCGTGGCATGGCATGCTATCCAATCGTTGGTGCCCTAGAACACGAACTCAGCCTCAATGAAGTGACGCAGCACTCCGATGGCTCTGCTACCATACCTGATCAAAACTGGGCGGCTTTCAGGTCATCGCAGCCTAGCATAGACCTTCCAGCGGCTACACAATGGCTTTCAATCCTAGGTCACGATCTTTACGACCGTCTGATGGACTTTGTAGCGCCAGTCGGTCCTTTGTGGAAGGCCCAGGGTGGCGAAGAGAAGATTACGGTGGAAAGATGGCGGTTCTGGCAGAATAGACTACGGTACTTTGCCTCAAATGATACCATTCTGGGCGATGGGATCAAAACGGCATGCAGACAAGCAGCAGATCACATGGACAAGACCGCCTGATTGAGACGTCACGGTGCTTAGGACTGAGGTATGTGATATGACAACACTGTTTCTAACAAGAAATGGGTAAACTTACCATCCTTATGCCTCCAGACTGCGATCTCTTCGTTCCTGGTGCAACCATGAAACTGAGTTCGACCTCGCAGACATAGAATGCACCAACCTGTTTTCCGTGCAGAAGCCTCTCATCCAGCAACCAGACTTGGTGACAATTCTCAAGGGCGATATAGAAGCGGTGTTTTGCAAATGAGTGTATTGAGTTGGACTATCTAGAAAAGCAGCGCGGAACGCAAGACCAAATACAGGAGACAAGGATTGGACGCAGCACGAGCGCATGCGCAGTGAGTTTTCCATATGTCACAAAGTGAAAACATCGACTCAGAGGCAGACGCGGGTACGGGCGGAAACTAAGTAAGCAAAGGTGGTTGGGAAAGGAGATAAGGGAAATCCAAAGAAGAGCTAATACCAAGATGCGACAGCCGGATTTGGCGGCACAGCTTGCAGAAGCGAAGAGAAGCAAAGTGCTGGAAAGCGACGGATGAAATGCATGCCACTGTAGAACTGGAATGCGGTAAAAGCATTTTCGTTTCGCATCAAGATTGGAAGCATCTGTCGTCTGATCGGAGTGGGTGAATTGGAGTGCAAGGTCCAAGGGGTCAATCATTTCGATCGAAGGCGCCCCGACTTGCTTGAGCAGTTCGAACGGTTCGGTATCGATTCCGCCCTGTCGACGTGTAAGCAAAGGTCTCGGAGCGGGGAAAATGTACTTGCCTCAGCATATCTTCGCCGTTCAGTCAACAGTGTCCATACGTTATCGCCGGTTAGTTTCACGAGCTCTGAGCCTTCGGACTTGAGGAGACCGAGCTCATGAATCTTTGCCCGAAGCGGTTGGGCTAGAACGCTAGCAGTCTTTGGAAAAACCTGGGTCTTTTTGGGAAATTTGACGTGGGTCAAGGGGAAATAAGCGCCGCGGCCGTCACCTACGAGTGGAAGATACTGGTGCTTCATATCGTTGCCGTCGTTGTAGTCTGTGTTTGCGTCAGTTACTGTGCACCGTCGTCAATACGACCAAGCGCAACTCACTCTCCTTGAAGTATTCGTAACTAGTCTGAACCTCTTTCTCATCTTCATCATTCCTCTTGCTCTTTGTCTTGGCCCTGACTTCGGTATCCTGGTTGGATACGACCTCGCGAATCAAGAACGGCTCATCCCATGTTTTGATGACGTCTGCTGTAGTCTCTGATCTGGTAGAGGGGTAGTTGCGTTGAACTTTGACTCTAACCAGCAAGTCGCTGATAGCGGGTTGCAGGCGGCTGATGTTTTCCTTGTTCATGCCATCCCCGAAAACATCCAACAACATTTCATAGACATTGTTGTAGGTTTCCGGCGTGGTAGACGTCAAATCGAACACCAAATGTACCAGTTTGTCTTTGAGATCAGTCGATAAGGCGGCGCGTACACGAAGTGAGTAGGGAGAAGGCGTCTGGGTACCGTTGATTGTATGAGCCTTGTAGCCTTTCACTAACGGCGTGATTGACACATCTCCTTTCGGCATGTTTGACTTTTCCTCCTTCAGCTGGATTGATTTCTCCCCTTGAAAGAGATTGATGCCCTCGGGAATCTTTCGGAACTGTTCCTTGGTAGCCCAAAGATTATCGGGGAATCCGTCCACTGAGGCATAGCGCCGTTGGATTAGAATGTTGAGACTCCTCTGATAGAGTCTACGATGTTTTGGATCTGTACTTGTTAATACATCCGTACTCGTAATCCTGCATGCCATTTTTCGCTCAGGTAGGCCGGTTTTGACGTGTCCGGGAAGTTTGGTTTTGAGAGCGAATTGACCCAGTAAGGTGGACATCGCGAACTCATCCTTATTTGAATTGTTTGGCATGATGAGATGCCATTCGTGAGACTTTCTATCTGGGTTTTTGTCGACAGCAGTGATGTCTTTGAAATGGGGCCAATATGTCTCGCGAAGTTCAGCCCACGCGGGCTCCCGGAACTTGCGGTTGTACACAGTATCGTCGTATTCACCAGAAGCGTTCATGGACTTGAATGCTACACGAAGGATCAGAATGTCGGGAAGATCTTCGAGACGATAGGTCAGGCGACCAAGTACGGTCTTGGAGGATGCCTTCCATGCTTCGGCGTCCGACTCGGCCTTTCGTGCTCTCTTCGCAGCCTTTGACTTCTTCGCCATTGTTCGTATTGCTCTCTTGAATCCGGGTTGGAGAAGTATTGATGAAAGGATGCGACGCTGATGCGATGGTGAGCACTATTGGGTGATCACACACCTTCTTATACAGTATCCTAGTTTCGATTTCCGCGCTTGCCTCCAGTCATTTGGCCACGATGAGCAAGCTCACGCGCTGCTTGCTCAACCTTGGGAGGTCATGGCGACTGGTCATGATGAGTTACTCGGTTTACTCGTGAGCTTGCCTTGGGACAATCGCGTAATGACATACGCAAACATCGAATAAGAAAATGAACAACAAATGCTGGGGAATGCGTGCTCTGCATGGGACGAGGAACGACCACTAGTGTAAGACGTGCACGATCAGGTACTAAGGGTGCCACCTTCGTAGTTCGATGCGCTTGGAGACTGTAACAGACGTAAGATCACTTCGGTCTCAAAATAAGAGGCAGTGTTGTCGTCAAAACTTCAAAAGTGCAACAGCAAACTTGATGATCTGCGCGCGTTAGTCATGACCTTGATCAAGGTGATATCGACCTACTAATTCCATTATTCAACGAAGGGGGTATCGATGAGTCGGTAGACACTCGAGCCTCGATTCACCCTACCCTCTGTGGCCACCTGTAGCTTCTTCAAAGCTGCTCAGCAATCCACTGCCACCATTGCTCCACATCAGCGCCCTCCTTACCCGCCTGAACATTACCCCCAATCACAGTCACACTCGTTCCGCTCTCTCTCATTTGCTCAAATGTGAACACGCCCTCACCGCCCTCACCCAGCCACTCCTTCTCCTCATCTACCTCATCTTCGCCACCATTCAACGCCGCACCTGCATCGCGAAGCGCCTTCGCCCTGTTACTCCTAACCTCAGTGATTGTCTTCTCGAGCGAGTTCTTGACAAGGTTTGCGGGCAACGCCGTGAAAAGATCCATCTTGTTTGCAGCAACAAGGACAGGGATCTCCTTTGGCCCTTTGCTTGTGGTAGCGTTGGTGTAGCGTTTCTGTAGCGAGAGGAGGATGTCGTGAAGGTACTCTCCTGCCTCGTTCAGTCCGGCTTCGTCGCCTAATTGAGCGGCGTCGACGACGAATATTATACCGCGGATGTTCTTGGGGTCGGCAAGTTGGGAGGTCGCATAGTGACGGAGCTTGCCATGGCCAGGCGTGTCGAGGAGGAGGAAGTTGCGAGAGCGCTCGAAGGCTGGGTCGCCTGGTGAGCGGTAGTGCGATGACGCGGGGACGTGTGGGCTGGGGAGGAGAGCGGAGACGGTGAGAGGTGTGGTGGACGTATGCGTTTGGGTTGTAGCGTTGCGCTCGGCCTGGCAATTGTTAGACGGTACGGGAGCATGGGTTTGAGGGATACGCTACCAATGTCGTAAAGGCCGTCTTTCCACTGCCGCTTGGGCCGGCTAGCAGGAAGGTGGGAAGTTGCGCGGCTGCAGCTGCCTTCTTGTAGAGGACGGTATGCAGTAGTATGGGCAGGCAGAGCGCGACGAGGAAGGTGATGAGGATAGTCGACAGGTTTGGGGAGAAGGCTGCCGTGAGCCAGCTGTCCTGATCGTACCACGCCATGGGGACCGGTGTGTGCTGTCAACAGAGCGCCGGATGCGCAATGCTGTCGGATGCTGGATGGAGCGTGTATGCGAGCCGCGTCGGGGTCAGGACGCTTCAGGGTGTCGCGTGGGTGAAGCGATGACGTGACACCGTTCAGCATCAACCAAAGTTTTGGTCGCCGGACCCTGAGTCAGGAAGGGACGCCTGAGCCGCGGGGAACACGGGAGCACGTCCGACGGCAAGAGCTTACAAGAACCTCACGTCTGATCTTCTTTACTCTTCTTTGCATGTGCGAGCACCTTCTCAGATATTCTGCGATGCTGGTCGCTCGTCTTGGCCCGGGCCACGCCCACGTAACCAACATGTACGCCAAAAGTCGCGTCGAGCCGTGGCGTCGAGGCCCGCCAAACATCACTTTCGGAAATGCTACGAACCATGATAAACGAAAAAGGGCCGCCTGCATTCGACAACTATCACACGCTTTTAAGGCACTACATAATCATACAATAGACAAGGGGCCGCCGTCATTAGCTTTCTCGTGCGCCGTACATCTCCCGTCCCTTCGTAACCGTGCCTTACAGTGGCTATGCAACCCTTAGGACCCTACGTCCTAGCCGATGTTGCATTTTCCTTGTGTGCGTCCTCAATCCTGCTGATCCAAAGCCTCGAAGGCTTTCCATGGCCGTGACCCATTACTCATACAACCATGATTTGCCGTTGCTGCCAAGCTCGCAAGGACAGATGCTGGGGCGCATAAGTCAGAGAGCGCCATACAGAGGCAGCACGAAAGAGATGGATGCGACCGTCGACCTTTTTTTACCTCCATGCGCCATGCACCATGCAAGAAGCATTCGTACTCATAACTCGTAGAATGTGCCCTCACCCTGCACCATCTGCACGTCTCGTAATGCGTAAAGAACACCATCATAAAACAGAAGTGAAACAGAGAAAGACATAACAGCATGGGAACGACGTGTAAAGAAGCTGGTCCCTCCAGGTCATACAGGCAATGACACCGGAGGTACCGCCAGAAGGGGGCAGAATTAAATATGCTTTGTGATGACACACCAAGACATGTACCAAGGTCAACCTGACCAGCAGTTGAGGCATCATATGCCAGCAGAAACAAGGGAGGTCATGTGCTGTCGGCTCAAATCCCAAGGAACGGGCATTGTACACATGCTCTCTGGAATCAGGCCAACACTGAACGTTGTACCGTCGCCAACATGCTCGAAGCCTGCGATGTAGCCTTTCT